GTTCAGTAGATCCAGACTTGTATCCCTACAACCTCACAAACTTTGTTAGAACCTTTTTGTTTTATATAAACCTTTTTGTTATATCAGGAAATCTTATATAAAGTATGAAAAAAGTATGTTGGCTTCTGTTATGGAAATAAATAATTAAATAATATGTAACGGGAAGATAAACTTTTAAAAGACTCCGTGAGGTTTATGATACAAATAAACCCCAGAGTTTCTATAAAACGCGGTTTATCCAAAAACTTCCAGGTTAAATATTCCAACAATTGTAAAAATTATCCCGAACAGCTATTTCATTCGAGCGTAAACCACAAAAAGGCTATAAAGCGAGGCACGATAAAAAAGTAAGCAAAGGGAAGAAACATTTAACTTTTAGTTTCGAACATTTTTTGCACTCAGTTCTTATTGAGAGCGAACTCAAGTTCTGGGTTTTAAAGTTTGGAACTATTAAGGATGTATTGCAGCGAAGTTATAAACTTAAAAGTATGAAATTCGCTCTTTTAATTGTGTCCTATTCTTCGTGCTTGAGTTATGATGTTCTTAATTCAAAAGAAACTTTCTCGTGTTGTGTGATTTACTTTATAACAAGAACATTTTTCGCTTTATAAAATTCTTGTAATATTTCGTCTGCGTTATTTAACTTTAATCTTGATTAAGTATATGACGTGTTTATTATTTTAATGTGACTGTTTGACGCTAGCTTTTTAATGATTATAAATTTATTTTTAAATGAAGGCATTGGTCGAGGACTGGGAAGGGTAGAAATGGTTGGATTCTCAGTACAGAATACTAACACCCCATTTGCATATTAAACATATATTAAAACTGAAATAAACGGCAAAAGTCTTACTAGTAAAATAATTGTTTTAATTAAATACCATTTTTAATATTACTATTATGTTTTATTGGACAATCATACGTATAAATAATCCTTACCTTATAATAGTGGTAGTCAATTCAAACTAGATCACGCAAAGATAAATGTTTGATTTTTAATATATTTCCTTATTGGCAATACATCATGAGACCACTGTATACTGCCGGAAAGAAATGATAACATCGAAGTGCTATGTAAATGATATAACAAATTTTCTTTTCCATCTGTTATTAAAAATAATAAATGACAACTAGAAATTAATTAATTATTATTCTAGCTATTCAAAGGGGGAACGCTCCCAGTATCTTCGGAACCTTGCCTAAAGGGACTCCTCTTAATAATATATTTTAGTTAAGAAAATTGTTAATAATAAAGTTCAAGATTGTAATTTAAATAAATATTAAGTTTTATAAATTATGATATGTTTTATACATGGTATCACTTCTTTACGTTGCAACCACCAATAAGTTCGAACGATATAAAAGCCAATATCGTAACCAGCTTAACAAATGATCCTTGAATGTTAAGCATATCAATTTTAGAAAGAGAAATGCTTAGAATGCGGGTCGGAGTTAGCGAGTGACGTAGGCACGCGAGGCGCGCGGTCTCGGTCGGATCAGTATGTGATATCGACACCAAATTTAGACGGTTAACCCTTTAATAGAGCTTTTAGTTATATCTTACATATATTTAGTTTAAGATTTTGACTAATTAGTCATGGGTTTAAAATGTAATAATTTTAATAGATTGGTTTATTATATACTCTATATTAATTGTATCAACTTTCGTATGTCCTTGGTGATTTAATTGATTTTGTGACATTGTTAAAGCACAGTTCAGCCATCTTATAATTATTATTACAGCGAGAATCGAAGTTTTTATATAAAAATATCCAAAAGAACCTCTAAGTTAGAAGCGTTATCAATTACGCCCATCAACCAGTTATTTCATACATTTTCTAATGCACACAATTTTCTAAAGGCACATCCAGGATGATCCTAGCATGATTCCCTCATCTAGTACCTACAAGCTAGTACCTATAGAACCCAATGCTTTTCTTTATTTTGCTCGTATGGTGAAGGAAAACTGAGGACAGACAAAACGTCTCGTTTCTGAAACTTACTCTTAGTTTTAAATATTAGAATAAAGAATGCGGAAATGTGTAGGTACGCTCCAAGTTTTTTCTTCTTTTCTATTGGGGGTAAGAGGACTTCATAATATAGTCTAATAGATTTAGTAGACACGTGAGTTTAAGTGAGCCATTAAATATTTATCAGCATAGCAACAATGTCTCTTCGAGATATTGCTAATTATTTTCACAAGGATATTATTGTATCATTTTTAATATCTTGTTACGAAATAGTCTGTAGAGAATTCGTATGTAATGTTATACCTTGCTACTGCGTGGATTGTTTAATTGCCTAATAAGGTTTTATATACGCACATATTAAGTTTTGAAAGATAAAATAATTTAAGGAAATATAGAGCTTTAAACGTTTTTATTTAAGTTTTAAAATTTAAACCAAAAGTGAAACATGTCTTCATCTTTTACTTGGTATCCCTTTTTTCCTCTTCCTAAATCTTCTGTTGACCTGTTTGTTCATCTGTTAATGTCTAAACTGCAAATGTCCTCCACATGCTATATTTATATTAACCAAAACTTTTATCGTATAGTCTACATACATGTCATGAGTACACATCTGTTTTCATCTAGTTTCTTATCGGTGGTGCTATTCGACCTTTTTCAATCTCTTATTACTTTCTTTTTGCAACGATTTGCTGTGTGTGTTCGCTTCATTTTTAGAATTTCTTTCATCTCTTTTTTGTCTTCATCCTTAATAAATATTACTAATAAAGTTCTATTAAGATACACTACATAAAGCTACATTACTATTGGCTATCATTAAAAATAGATCTCTGACTTGAAACTACGCGTTTCTTAATTTAATAGGCACACTGATGAAGTGACTCTTAATAATTTTGTAATTTTTTACTGATAAGTACGAAAATGTCGGAATGCTTTGGTATTTCAAATTCAAGTTTAATCAAAAAAATGTGAATACAATTTCACATTTTTTAAATTAAAATAGTGTCGTTTGCGGCATGACCAGTACGATGACCACATGCCCTGAATCGCGCTATCGAAGAAATTTCAAGTGAAAAGAACATAATGGGAATATAACATAGAATACCAGACCAGATAGACCATAACATAGAAGAGCTACCGGGGTCTTCAGGCCTTAACTTCGGAACTGGTAGAAGATCCTTCCTCCTCACTTGTATTATAATGTCTTATAAAAAATACATTACAACTAATTCACTATTTCTAAAAATTATTAAGCTATACCATTCGATCATAAGAAATTAAATATGCAAAACAAGTAATGTATTAAAGTTAACTGCAGATGCCGAAAATGTAAATCTAAAAAGACATCGTCTCCAGGGTCACATTGCAGTCCATATCTCACAGCGGGTATTGTTCTGCGTCCTAAATCACTGCAACACTCGCTAAAAAGACTCGATTAATGGCCCAGCATTCTTGACCGACACTTTTCTCAAACGCCGTTTGCTATCTAGTTATAAATGTCGGTAGACAAATACGATGGACATGTACGAAATAAACTTAAATCTAGTTTTCGCTGTCACACTATTTTTCTATGAAGAATACAAGTTGAAAAAAGAAAAGCATTGGAGTATGCCTCCGAGACTTCGGTTCTACCACCAAAGCAACATCCGTCCGTATATTACGTAAAAGTCCCGTTACAAAAACAAATATTTTTACGGAGAGAAATTTATTATGCCATAAATTAATCTGGAATACACTTCTTGTATGGCAATCAAGATTTATAATAATTTACTCAAAGCATTCAAAGATAGAGTAACTTATTATAATAAAGTTTTTAAATATTGACTTAACATACATACTATTTTTGTAAATTATGAATTGTTCCTATTAATGATTATTTGAGATAAATTATAAATAATAATAATTTCATTTAATGTCTAAAGAACAGAGATACGCAGTGTGTGTTTATATCGGGATAATTATAATTATCGTTTATAAATTGACATTTAATTGTATCACAAATTAAACTTAAATTAAGTTCAAACCGCAAAACACAGAATTAAGCGAGATTTCAAGACCTCAACGTTCGTATTCTAATTTCAAAATAACTTTGAGAATGTAATTTCTTGAGAATTGTGACTTCTAAGCTGACAAGTGACACCGAGATACCATTTCGTTTTATTGCGATGTGTTAAATCGGTTTATAAGGTTTATAATGCATAAAATACGGTGTACATTTCTTCATGGCTTAATTCTATACAATTATATACTAATATAGTATTTTATTTATTGTATTTCACCTCTATTATATTGTTGATGCCATTAAAGCGTCTGAACCATTGACAAAATGTATTTAAAAATCCCGCGAAAACGTCTATTCTCCTAGTCATCATGGCGTAAATAAGAATTCTTACGTGTTTAAGGAATTTTAGTTGTGGAGAATTTGACTTCTGAATCTCTTTTCTTTTTCAGTCAGTGTTTATTTTTGGCAGCGATTACAAAAAGCCACATTTTGTTCGTGTTTGGCATCTTTTAATTGTTTATGTCTTGAATCGGAAAGTAACATAGTTATTCCTTTTTTAAATTTTGCGCCAAGCAATAAACTGACTGGAGGTTCTACCAAACAAGAGTTAAGATTGAATAAGTAGAACATTGTTTGAAAATACTAATTATTTTGGTTGCCAGCGAAGGTCACAAAAATAAATAACGTATAAGCTAGCTCGTTGCTCAGTTACATATCTTGAACAACAGTTCTTAAAATTGTAATCAATAACCAACACAAATTTACCTATAGGGCTGCCACAAATTGCGTTCTGAGTTAACTCTGACACTAGTCATTATGAGTGAACAGATAGAAGCTGTACCAAGGAAATACAAACTGTCTAATTACTATATGCTCATCAGGCTATATGGCTGAACTGTACTTCTTAAAACACATTGAGCTAGCGGCTAAAGAATAGAGGGATGATAAGGAACGGGATAATTAAAATAATGAAATGTATAGTGACTCCAAGTCATCCCTGAAGGCGGTTTTTTCAGATATACAGTTGTAGTTCAAGCTAGGAGAAAGATAGAGAAAGCTCTAGGAAATTCTGCGTTAAAGCACATGTGCACATGTGAGGAGACACGCACACCAACACAAGAATATGGCTCAAAAACTAAAGATTGAACCGCACTATGACTCATGTATCCCATGGCAAGAAGGGAGACAGTTGAAGAGTGGCGTACTAGATACTGCTCCTCAGAGACAGCGTTGGACATTAAGATCTTCTTCCCTGATCCCTCTTTGTCTGCTAAGACTATCATGACTATACAACCAGAGGGCAAAGTAACTCGATTATTAACTATTACACAGTTCAACTTCAAAGTGAGTCCAAGATGCCTCTTTGTGTATGTCTCTTCCTTTTGCTTCTACCAAACCGAAACAATAACCTACTGTTTCGAGGAGAAGAGATCCAGAGTTATTTGTCATTATTAAACCACGGAGGTGATTGTTTAATAAGTGTTGCTTTAGAATTTCAGTCAATATCACGTGTAAATTAGTACGAAATTGTATTATCAAGAAAGGTTTATTAAACGTAAACATTCAAGCGGTAAATTTTGCTTAGAGAAGTTTGCGACAGTGTCATATTGTGTGACATTTGTCAGTTAGGTAATCGTGTCATCTACCAAGTTCAGGAGTTTCGGTGTACATATTATGAATTTGTGAACTATAACGGGCGAAGTTTTACCACTGGTTCAAATTGGTTTTGTCATTGTAAGGGAAAAAGTTGTGCATAATTTTTATTAATTTTATTCTGTAAATCTGTGATTAGAAATTTACTATAATATTCATAAACCTTGACTCCATATTGCCATTAAATTTAATTGCCTATAAGATTTTTTATTTATTTAGAGTTTTCATCATTTTTCATCAATCTTAGTTAGCTGGAATATTGCCACATGAAGATACAGATATAGTTTCATATTAAATCTATATGCAATAGATACCTAGCAATAGCAACCCTCTTATTTATCTAATTTCACCGCTTTAATTAAAGTACACATTTCAATGTTTTCCCCGCAACGTAAACGTAATTTGACAGAAAGAGACGAAAGCCTACTTTCTGAATAGGCTCGGCCTATTAATCCAATGTTTATAGATAATTTAATTGTAATTAAAAAGGAACAGAAAATTACATTTTAGGTATTGTCTCAGTGAAGCCACAACCTGAGGGATATGAACATATAAGAATCAAAAATCATCAAAAAAAAAATCAATGACGCTACAACCTTTTTAGCTCTGGGCCTCAGATTTCTGTATCTGTTTCATGATCAAGTAGGTGATCAGCCTTCTGTGCCTGACGCACGCCCTCGACTTTTTGGGTCTAAGGCAAGCCTGTTTCCTCACGATGTTTTCCTTCACCGTTCGAGCGAATGTTTAATGCGCACATATACGTAGAAAGAAAGTCCCTTGCTGCACAGCCGGGAATCGAACCTACGAACTCAGGGATGAGAGTCGCACGCTGAAGCCACTAGGCCAACACTGCTCTCACGAATCAGCAAAGAAGAATGTATACAAACATAGAATTCTCTCCACAAATACCCCCTATTAAGGGGGTTATAGGACGTCATTTATCATCTGTATACTTAGAATATCTACGATGTACGATTTCAGGCGCCGTGAATCAAGAATCATCCTTTTTTAACCCATTCGTTACAGATTGGAAAACGTCGATAAGTAAAAGCTTACACTGAAGTGGCAATGAACGTGAGTGAACGTAAGTCCCCGGTATAATGGTTACTCTTAAATTAGATTGTATTGCAACCAGTTCGAATCCCTTTTGCACCATTTGTCCTTTATCCTCTCACGTAGTCACTTTTTAATCAAGTTACGAAAAGTTGACCTTTTCGTAAGTTTTTGTATGCATGCATATATAATACTCGATTTCAAATTTGATATTTTAGACCGATATTTTAACTATTGGCGGCGTGTATCAGGCACAGATGGATCACCTATTTGCCTATTACAAATCATCAGAAAACAGTTACAGAGATCTGAGGCCCAGACCAAAAACGCCACTTGATTTTTTAACTATTGTGGGTGTGCAAATCTCGAAGTAAAGATATACGAAATTAATAAATTATCTAGAATTTACATTTATTATTAGAGATGTTTGATGCAATGTTAGTTTTTAATGTATATTATTTTTGTTGGAATGATGATGTGTCTGTAAGCTTGGCATTCGTTTAAAATTTTTATTACCTATCGAAAAATTTTAACTCTCGTGGTAATTACAAATTTTGGCGTTGGATAACACAAGCTGGATCAATACAAGAAATGTGTGCATTTAACGTCCAAATATTTAGAAAAAAGCCGTGAAATATCGTTTTGTAAGTCCTTAAATTTATTATATTATTTAAAAGACAAAAATAAGAGGTAAATCAATTGGTACTTTCCTTTCATAAAATATCAATATTAACTTTCATAAAATAGGAACTACTACTTAATTTTATTAAGTACATTGCTACTGTAGGTGGAATTCGTAGTACTTGACGATTTTAAAGGCCATCACACCGAATGGTTCGGCTCATATATCACCGATTGTGCGGGAAGAACATTTCACGACTTTGCTTTGGCCTATGACAAATGGTGCCTTTGATCACGAGAAATCTATGTGGTGACGGTCATCCGGACGGCTACCAGGTGACTGTCGATCCGCCTTTAGGATCATATGATCACCCCTTCACCCCTTTGTTCTCTAAAATAATGAAGCCTCGAAGAGCACTAGCTGATTAGTGACCATCAGTACGGCTTTCGAGGACGCTCAGCTGGTGAGATATGCTGGCAGTGTCGGTAAAAACTATTGTCTGAAATCGAGATCCATTTACATCATGACTCGGACTGGGGTCAACAGCCTTAAAGCCTCAGCCACTGTCGGAATTCTCGGCGTTGACATATCGAGCGACGTTTAGTTTCGCGGTGATTTGGGGGGTAAGCCTTAAAAAAGCACACAAAGCTATTTCACTGCGGGCAACAGCAACTGTATAAACCGCAAATTTGGCCTCAAATTTGAATCCTATTATCGGACGTCGAGCTAGAATGCGAAATTCCCTTCTTTCAATCTCGACATCTGGCGTTCCGAGCAGCGCATTTTACATTTCAGCTGCACACTACCTATTTGTGGAACCAGCAGCCAGTAAAGGTATGTCCAATTCGATACGCCTTAGGGACGAAAAGAGCGTACGTAACATTCGCGCGTTGGAGGTGTCCATGGGCGGCGTTTATCGATTTGAAGTTAAAGTTCGCTCCACGCTCTTCCTGTCCCGTAAAAAATGGGTTTTTAAACACGCTACGCCGCTGAGTGAGTCTCGAAATGATTAGGTAGATATGAACTTTAATTAATCAACAAGAAACTTTAATTTGCTTCCGGGCTTAGTCCAAATGTCCTGTGTTCGATTCCTGACAAAACTGTAATTGTGTCGAGTTGAGTCATAAAATGTGTTTAATGAACTAAGTATGTTTTAGTTCTAAACTGATTTTTTAAAGTCATATACTTATCAAAATTTGCAACCTATAATATTTTTATTTAAACTGATTTTAGGGCTACGACATGAACACATCCGTAAATTGTAATTGTATGACAATCACTTTAATTGGAATCTTCAATTGTTATTTACTATCCTATATAAATCTCCTTTATTGAGAAGGGTAAAACGCTATATAACTTTGCGATACAACCGGAAAATTTGATAATAATTGGACAGCTGGAATTATATTTACTATTTTGAAACAAGGGGGCGTTCAAGTATTACGAAACGAATTGGAGGGGGGGGAGAGGATCCTTTTGTAAAACGTTACGATGCGGGGCAGGGATTGAATTAAGCCGTTATAGTTAATATAATTTTCGACTTTCCAGTTCTTCACACCACATAATGGTAACTTTTAGGTATAAAGAGTCACTAGGCAGTCACGAAACGTTTTACTATACTTGGGCACAGAAAAACGTTGCGCGTTACATGGGGGGGGTCAATAATGAAAAATAGCGTGACGTAATACTTGAACGCTCCCCAAGGACTAAAATGAAACTGCGACTTTTAAAGCAATGGAAAAAAGCAATTAATATTCTCTACATACTTATCCTACATTAGTATTCCTGTATAGCCCGGCAAAAGGGTACATATAAATTCAGGTGAGATCGAAAACTTGGCCACAACGTGATTGGCATACTTACAGCCATTATACCTTGACTCTTAGGTTATTTGACATAAGGTCGTTATTGGAACAGAACCAATAAAATACAAATACAGTTGCAAGGTGAAACTAATCACTTTAATTGTATTTTCTGCAACTCGGAACAACTTCTAGAAATGTGCTAATTCCGTTACCCATTTTAGTTGTTAACTGGCTGGTTTTATTTATATGAAGATAATTAATCTGAGGATGATTTTGTTGTTATACTGAAACGACAAATATACACAAATGTAAAATAAGTCTTTTAGAAGAAAGGTATCTTACATTATTTCATATATATACTCGTATATATACTAGCTGATCCGGCAAACGTCGTTTTGCCATGTTTATCATTTATAATAAAAAATAGAGGTTGATCGTAGAGGGGTGAAAAGTAGAGGGGTTATATGTATTTTTAATGCTGTATCATAAAAAAATAAACATAAAAAAATTTTCTAAAAATTAAAAAAGAAATAATTTAGGGGTGGACTACCCTTAACATTTAGGGGGATGAAAAATAGATGTTATCCGATTCTCAGACAACTGTTCACATGAGCGCGCGTTAGCGAGCGTTAACGCGGCGCTTAGAGAAAAAGTCTCTAGACGCAGGTGATCGCGCGTTGACGCGCGCTTTGATATTAATGTAATGTCCGTTTGCTGTTCAGTTGAGCGCGCGCCTTCATCGCGATCGCATGTAATTTTGTTAATTTTCGTAATTACATTTCGTTTCCGCATTTAAAATGAGTGAAATTGAAGATATTGACATCGACTTACTAATCGATGAAGTAGAAAAAAGGCCAGCAATTTGGAATATAGGTTCGCCCTTTTGTAAAACGTTACGATGCGGGGCGGGGATTAAATTACGCGTTATTGTTAATATTTTTTTAGACATAATATACATAATAGTAACTTAAGAGTCACTAGGTGGTCTCGAAACGTTCTACCAAACTAGACTGACGAGTACTCTCGCAACGCGCATTAGCGCTCATCATCTGAACTCTCTTCAAATTTGATCGCGCGTTGACGCGCGTTAACGCGCGTTACATGTGAACATAGCCTTAATGTGCAATAACTCATTTAAAAGTCAAAAGTCAAAAATCATTAATTCATATAGGTAACACAATGTACACTTATGAACGTCAAAAAAGAGATATACATTGAATGCTTCTAAATTTACATTTAGTGTCAATTCTCATATCAAGGGCGTAGAACGGAAGAGAAGAACTGGCAATAAACTCTCCGCCACTCTTTTTAATCGCCAAGTTTTTTGTTTTTCACAACGTTTGTAAGGAGCTGCAACCATTATAATATGTTCCACATGACATCTTAAGTAATAAATAATAAATTAAAAACAAAGATTGGTCCTCTACCAGCAGGAGGCATGGTGCAATAGGAGCACGCACTTACATTATCGTGGGAACAACACGCAAATACATAATAACATTATCGCATACACCAATTTAAGTACGACCAGTCACCACTAATCTATAGTCTTTGGACACGACAAGAGCGTAGTAAGATTAAGCTGACAGCTTCATATGTAAGTACTATTTCCTAACTTAAGTCTAATGGTGAGACTTTAAAAATCTATCCCTAGAAAGTAGGAATCCTTGAAAATCCCTACTATTAATGGAATCATAACGTGATGCTAGGTTACGGAAGGGGGAAGGAAATGCCAAAACATGATATTTTTGTTATTGGAAATCGTATTAATTAGTACCATATACAAATAAAGTAAATATTAAGTTTTGCATAGTTATGGGTAATTATTTGCACCTATTTCACCATGCCTTCTGCTGATAGAGGACAAGTCATTGTTTTTTTTTTTTAATTTATGTTATTATTATTAATTACTTGATATGTCATGTGGAACATGGTGTAACGGCTGCAGATCCATACAAACGTTGTGAAAAAAACAAATGGCAATTAAAAAGAGTGGCGGAGAGTTTATTGCCAGTTCATCTCTCCCGTTCTACGTCCTTGATTTGAGAACTGGCAGTAAATGTAAAATTAGAAGCATTAATATGTATTTCTTTACTGACGAGTCATAAGTGTAAATTATGTTACCTATATGATTAAATGATTTTTTTACTTTACTTTTACTCGAATAGGTCTAAACCAATGCAGCAAATATTGGTGTATAAGCTATCTTATTCAACGTAAAACTAATCTACATATCAAATTGTAAGACAATGTAAGTACGGGGTATTATGTAAGGTTTCGCTGAGTCTAAACTGGCAAATGTAGGTAATTCAAGTTAACTATTTGACAACTTTCCAAGCCGCCACCGAACCTACTTAGGTGAATGTTGGATAAATGTCAAAGTTATTTTCTCGATTGTAGTGTAATGGGCTTTTAATGTTTTTGTGTGTAGATTGCTCTTATGTTTTTGAATTGGGAAATGAGTATTTGACATCTTTATTACCTTTGTTATTTTTACCTTTACCTTTACCTTTATGTTTAGTTTAGTGCAGTTTTAATTTATGTATTGTATTTTTTTTTTTTTTTTCTCGATCTTCTTCGCTTTGCCTCCAGGGAATTAATATTTGGGTTGTCTGGAAGAAACTACTTTTGCCGTTTTATTACTAGTTAATTTACATCCTTCAACTTCATTTATTTAGTTTTATTTTTGTCTTGTTGTGTGTTATATTATTGCTATTATTATTACTTATTTGTTAAATAATATTGCATTTAAAATACTTTTTAATTCTCTTTAAATATACACTGCGAGAATCAATAAATAATTTATGTATCTTCTAGGCATTACAATTAACTTTAAAAGTTAATTTGTACAATGATAGATAAATTAAAAACACTCGCATATTCAGCGATCACATTAAACGATCATACGATTGTAAAATTAAAAGCAATAAAATTATTTATTTAGTCCCATTCTATGATGGTATCTCAGAACTTATAATGTTTGATGACGTTATTCATATCTTTCAAGAGTATGGCTGTTATTTGATATATAGCTTTAACGATTGGAATTACGTCACTAATTATTAAATACTGAAAGGTATTGATTCTAAATTCAAATAATTATAATTATTTAAATTCTTTGTATTAGTGTATCTTTGTATTGTCTTTTATAGACATAACTTTAACACATTTAATAATCAATTTTTTACCAGATTTAAGTTATGTATTTACAATGATTTTTCATAATTTTAGATTTAACCGACGTTTCGCGTGCTTTACAGCGTGCGTGGTCACGGTGACTGAAGACAAAAGTTGTTGAATGTCAAAAAGTATCACAGCTGTAGAAAAAGTTGCATTATCTGTATTTATTTCCTCGGAGTTGGTATCGACTAAATGGGTTAAATCCAAAATTATGAAAATTAATTGTAAATACATAACTTCAATCCGGTAAAAAATTGTTTTATTATTAGTGTATCATTGTGAAACTTACGTGAAAAAATAAGAATATTTAAAAATTGCTTGTAATTAAATTTTAAAATTTTAACCTGCGACGCCCGACCTATGTGTGGGAGTTTAATTATAAAAACCTATTCATACTCCATTTCATAATGATTTTCCTCCTACGATATTTTTAAAATAGCGTACATTTTCAAACTCCCTACGGCCAACATTTACATTTTAATAAAGCGACTGTACAATTAAAAAGCCATTAATCAATTATAAATTAAGTCAAAAAGTGGCTTCAGTACTGTATTATATATTAAAAGTATTTCATGACTTTAAGTAATTTATTAATTTCAGTACAAGGCGACAGGGCGAATACATAAACTCATCACCCGTTTTACAAATTGTTTAAATAAATTTAGTTGAATTAAAATAATTCGCTTTCATAATCTAGTGACTACGATAGCGCTTCTAATATTACAGATCTGAGATTTTTTGACATGACATACATTGGTCAATTACAAGTGTTGATGAAGAGAAGATAAACCGAGGCTAAGATAAACAAACGACTTTGGTTTTTTTAAATTGAAACGTGCAGGAGTTTCATCAATGCCAGAGGGCTCGCGAGTGCGTTGCCGACCTTTTAAGATTTGGTACGCTGTTTTCTTGAAGGACCTTTAGTCGAATTGGTTCGGAAATACATACTTTAGTGAGTAGCTGGTTCCACATAGTGGAGGTTCGCAGCAAAAGCTGCCTTAAAATAACGCTCCGTTGTGGAATGACGG